GCAGCAGCTGCAGCAGCAGCCGCTGCAGCAGCTGCAGCAGCAGCAAGAGGCTGCTGCAGCAAGGGTTTTGCTGTTGCTTCCTGCAGCAGCAAAAAAAACAACAAAAGAAATATCTCCTTTTTAGTAAGCTCTCAGATCTAGGGTGTATTTTCTAGGGTTTAGGGTTTAGGGTTTAGGGTTTAGGGTTTAGGGTTTAGGGTCTCGTCGGCAGCGCTGGGGGCCCCCCTGCTCCCGCTGTCTTTGCTGCAGCAGAACAGCAGCTAATCTATTACACACAGCAGCAGCAGCAGCAGCAGCAGCAACAGCAGCAGCAGCAGCAGCAGCAACAACAACAGCAGCAGCAACAACAGCAGCAACAGCAACAGCAGCAGCAGCAGCAGCAGCATCGAGCAAACGACACACCGCAGCAATCATTCCCATCCCCACAGCAGCAACAGCAGCAGCAGCAGCAGCAACAGCAGCAGCAGCAGCAACAGCAGCAACAATAACTACAACGGCACCAGCAGCCGGAGCAGCAGCGGCAGCAGCAGCAGCAGCAGCAGCAGCAGGAGCAGCACCAACATCATTAGCAGCAACAGCAGCGGCAACAGCACCAACAGCAGCAGCAACAGCAGCGGCAGCAGCAGCACACACTTTGCTGCTTCTGCTGCAACAACTGCTGCTGCTGCTACAGCAGCATTTGCTGCTGCTGCTGCTGCCGCTGCTACGAATTGCAGCAGCGGCAGCAGCAACAACAAGAACAACAGCAGCAGCGACAGCACCAGCAGCAGCAGCAGCAGCAGCAGCAGCAGCAGGATACATCTGAGACACAATGGATAGAAGGATATTCCGTCTGCTGCTGCTGCTGCTGCTGCAGCATTTGCTGCTGCTCGCATGCATGTGCGGCAGCAGCTTTGGCTTAGTACTGCAGCAGCAGCAGCAGCAGCAGCTGCTGCTGCTCCGATGCCTCAGCACAACTGCAGCAGCAGCATCGCCATCCTCTCTGCGGCAGCTGCAGGCAGCACCGCGCCGCAGCAGCAGCAGCAGCAGCGGCGACAGCAGCAGCAGCAGCAGCAGCAGCAGCAGCAGCAAACCAACGAAGACCAGCAGCAAACCACACCTCAGCCATAACCCCACGCTGCTGCAGCAGCCACAGCAGCAGCAGCAGCAGCAGCAGCAGCTTTCGCAGCAGCAACCGGTACAGCAGCACCACCGCCCCCGTAAGCAGAAGCAGCAGCTGCAGCAGCAGCAGCAACACAAGCAACAACAACAACAGCCAGCAGCAGCAGCAGCAGCAACACCAGCAGCAGCAGCAGCAACACCAACAGCAGCAGCAGCAAGCTTGGTGCAGCAGGTATCGCAGCTAACCCCTAGAGAGCTTAAGCAGCAGCACCAGGAGCAGCAGAAGCAGCAGCAGCAGCAGCAGCAGCAAGAGGAACAGCAGAAGCAGCTGCGGCAGCAGCAGCAGCAAGAGGAGCAGCAGAAGCAGCAGCAGCAGCAGCAGCAGCAAGAGGAGCAGCAGAAGCAGCAGAAGCAAAAGCAGCAGCAGCAAGAAGCGCAAAAGAAGCTGAAGCAGCAGCAGCAGCAGCAGCAAGAGGAGCAGCAGAAGCAGCAGCAGCAGCAGCAGCAAGAAGAGGAGCAGCAACAGCAGCAGCAGCCACAGCAACGGAAACAGAGGCAGCGGCAGCAACCAAGGAAACTGCAGCAGCAGCAGCAGCAGCAACAGCAGCAGCAGCAGCAGCAGAAATTGGGTGTATGGGGCCGGCTGCTGAGGTTTATAGGGTTCAGCAGCAGCAGCAGCAGCAGCAGCAGCAGCAGCAGCAAACCTGCAGCAGCAGCAGCAGCTGCTGTTGCTGATACAAAGATACAAAAGCGTATGTCCTATGCTGCTGCTGTTGCTGCTGCTGCTGCTGCTCTCGCTGCTGCTGCTCTGCTGCTACCGTTCTTGCTGCTGCTGCTGCTGCTGCTGCTGCTGTTGCTGCTGCTGCTGCTGCTGCAGCAAGAAACCTGTGTGTGAGATGGGGTGTATGCGCAGCTGCAGCAAAAGAAAAAGCAACGAAGACAACCAGACTGAATGGAGAGGCCGTGAGAGAGCTGCTGCTGCAGCAGCAGCAGCAGCAGAAGCAGCAGCAGCAGCAGCAGCAGCAGCAGCAGCAGCGGATAGAGTGCGCCGAATGTGGGTCGCAGCTTTTTGTTGCAAAGGGAAGAGAGAAACGATTCCTTACCCGCGTAAACCCTAAACCCTAAACCCTAAACCCTAAACCCTAATCTATAAACCCTAAACCCTTAAAGCTTGTTGCTGGTAGCTATTGTGCGTTTGTAGGTGCAACATAGCTGCAGCAGCAGCAGCAGCAGCAGCAGCAACTGCCGCTTGCTGCTGCTGCTGCTGCTGCTGCTGCTTCTACTGCTGCTGCTTATACTCCTACTGCTGCTGCCACTACTGCTACTGCTGCTGCTGCTGCTACTACTGCTGCTGCTGCTGCTGCTACTACTGCTGCTGCTGCTGCTACTACTGCTGCTGCTGCTGCAGCAGCAGCAGCTGTGAGTGTATGTGTGTGTTTGCTGCTAGGAGACAAAATGCCTGGGCTGCGGTTCTTTGTTTTTTGTTTTAAAACCCTGAGCTGCCTAGACACCCCAGCTTGCTGCTACAGCTTGCTGCTGCAGCTTGCTGCTGCTGCTTGCTGCTGCAGCTTGCTGCTGCAGCTTGCTGCTTGCTGCAGCTTGCTGCTGTTTGCTGCTGCAGCTTGCAGCTGCTTGCTGCTGCTTGCTGCTGCAGCTTGCTGCTGCAGCTTGCTGCAGCTTGCTGCAGCTTGCTGCTGCAGCAGTTTGTTTGGTGGTTTGGGGTGTATAGGCAGCTCGACATGCCTTCATATTTCTTCTTTTCTTTTCTGCTGCTGTGCAGACAAAAAGAGAAATTAAATCACTCAATATTTATATCTATATATTTATATAAATATATATATATATATATATATATATATATATATATATATATATATATATATATATATATAT